TCCGCCTGCCCCAGTTTCCCTGACTGTAAAATGAGGATCATAATAGCGCCTACCTCCCAGTGTGGCTGTAAAAATCAAATGAGATATTTATGGCACAAAGTAGGCCTAAATAAATGTTTGCTCTCTTTTCCTTCCCCTTCCCTTTCTCCAAAGAGAAAGGATTAAGATTAAGTTGGAAGGAAGGAAGTTTCTTGGTTTAACTCCTAGAATGAAGAGAAAATGATCCCAGAGGGAATGAGATAACAATTTTGTTATTCAGCAAAGGCTTAGGGCGCTAGGTCCTTAAGAAGAAAAATTAACACACCCCCCTTTCCCTTCTTCTCCTCCTTCCCTCCCCTACCTTTCTCTTCCCCCCAAGCTAAAAATGGCTTAGATACTAGACAGATGATAAATTATTTCTGTGCCTAAATGTAGCTCACAGTGTTAATATTTTTCCCGCAACACACTTCTGCGCATGCACCCACTCCGCCTGAACTTCACTCTTGTTAGCTCCCCAGAATCCAAGGCCACATCCCCAGGGAAGCCTTTCCTGACGCCCATAGTTGTAAATGACGTCTTCTTACTCAAACTGTTTACTATATCCATGACATGTATACTCAACAGAACTTAACATAAGCTGCTTGAGAGCAGGGACAGTTTTCTTTTGGGCAGCTGGATGGCAAACGCTGGGCCTGGAATAGGGAACACCCGAGTTCAAATCCAGTCTCAGACACTCAATAGCTGTACTACCCTGGGCAAGTCATTTAACCTCTGTTTGCCCCAATCCACTAGAGAAGGAAGTGGCAAGCCACTCCAGGATCTTTGCCAAGAAAACCTCCTGGACAGTATGCTCCACGGGGTTTAGAAGAGTCAGACAGGACCAAATAACACCAGACCCAGAACTTAGCATCTTGTCAAAGAGCAGAGGGTATAGAGGCAGTAAGATCTAGGTTCCAATTCCACCTTTGACATTTACTAGCTATGTGGCCATTAGCAAGTCATTCACTTCTCTGAGCCTCAGTTTCCTCAGTTTGTGAAATGAGAATAATGGAACTTAATATACTCAATGGCTCAAATGCATAAATGGAAGTGCTTTGCAAACTTTAGATTGTCAGTTATTAGGTGCTTAATATTGACTTGATTTTTTAAAAAAAGCAACAACAACAGGAGAATAGAGGCGAGAAATAAGAAAGGAGAGAGGGAAGGACACTAAGAAGAGGAGGAGAAAAAGAAAGTTAAGAAGATAGAAAGGATAAATGGAAAGCCTAGAAAGAAAAGAGGACAGCATCTCAGAGAGAAGAGAGGAGGGGAAGAAAGCAGACCTACAAAAGAGACCGGACCAGAAGGAGAAAGGCTATAATGCCAGAAAGGGGAACAGGACAGAAAAAAATAACAGAAGACCAGAGAGAGGAGGGAGAATGGAGGAAACCAAGTCAAGCTGCACTCAGTAAGTATCTGCTATGCGAAGGGCCCTCAGAAGCTCTCCATCTAGTTCAACTGAAGCCTGAACAAGAATTCATCTCTCTCTACAGTCTCACCAACATGTGGCCCTCCGACCTTTGCTCGAAGACCTCCCCAGTCACACTCCAGCACCCAGAACCACCCAAGGCAGCCCATTCCATTCTTGAACAGCTCTCAGTATTTTGGGTTTTTTCCTTTTTACACAAATTAAATGTGCATGTTGGTTACTTCCCCTCTTTGCTCCCAGGGCCAAAGAGAGCAAGTCAAAACCTTCCTCCATTCAAGAGTCCTTTGAATGCTTTGAAAGCAGCCATCACACTCCCCTCAAGGCTTCTCTTCTCCAGGCTAATCATTCCCAGTCCTTCCACTGACCCCCCAGTAACATGAACTTGAGAAGCAGTCAAAGAAAGCGGCCAGAAAGAGAAGACAGGAGGGTCTGAGGAGGAAAAGGACGGAAAAGAGAGGGCAGAAGACACTGAATTAGGATCTGAGACTCAGATCAGGAAGAAACCTCAAGCCACCCATCCCTCTTATTTTACAAATTAAGCATCAAAAGCAAGATTTGAACCCAGCATCCTTCTATCTTACCACACCATCTCCCTTGTGTGAAATATTGCAAAGTAAGAAGAATCAGGGGGGAAAAAACACACAATGATGGGGGATTAGTTGGGGGACAGGAGGAAGAGAGGTCTGGAACTGTAAATTCCACTTTTTGACCATCATCATGGCCATAACCAAATTGCTTAACCTCTCAATGCCCTCAAACAGCTCTAAGATTGCGGTACAGACAACCTGTGGATCTTCTTGGTGGAGGGAGCTTCCATGCAAGGAGTCGCAGGTCACCCCAATGAAGTCACAGGTCAAGGCCCCACTCCCCCTCCCAAAGCTTAATGTAATGACCAATCTTGACCCCAGAAAAAACGATAAGGAAATGCACTACTCTTATTTCTTTGGAGCGGTTGGAAACCACGGGTCCAGAATATTACAGGTGCTATCAGAGTGCAGTGGCTATTTCGGCTGATTTTTTAAAAATGTTTTGCTTTGTTAAAAGGCAAGACTCACCAGATGGTGGGAGGGGTATGTGGAAATGATGTACAGAAAAACAAAATGCATTAATTAACGCAGGGAGAAGGAAGGCAGCCCCTCGCTAAGCACAGTGTCCGGCTCACAGAAGGCACTTAATAAATGCTTGCTGCTTAATTGATTGACAGAAGAGGAGGACAGGAGAGGACGGGAAAAGGACAGAAAGAAGGGAGAGTAGAGAGAAAGGCAGGGAACAGCAGAGACAAGAGGGCAGAGAAAATACAGAAGGAAAGAAGAGAAAGCGGAAAGAAAAAAAGGGGAAAGAAGAAATCAATAAATCAACAAATATTTGTCAGGCACCTCCTTTGTGCCAGGCAATGAGCTAAAGAAGTTTAGGAACACAACGACAGAGAATGTAGCCGCAGTCAGGCAATGAGTTCACATGCTAAAGGAAGAATGGGAAAGGATGGTCCTAAGGGTCTGCTAGGTGCCAGGCAGCGCTAAGCCCTGCCCTCAGGGGTTACAGTCTAATGGGAGACTCCACGCAAACAGCGGTGCACAACAAGAAACAGAGAGGACAGATCGCGGCTGGGCTCGGAGGGAAGGACCCAAGACTAATCATGGGGGCTGGGAAGGCAGGAGAGCACAGAAGACAGGAGCGCTGAGCAGAGTGAGCACAAGAAGACGAGAGGAGAGCAAGGCAGGGCACGGGGGGAGGGGACGGCGAAGGAGTGGAAGGGGCCCGCCCAGCCGACAGGGGGCGGGCCAGGGGCGGGGGCCACGGCAGGGCGGAGCCTCCGGACAGCGGCACTGAGCGCCAGGGCGGGGCCACGGCCGGGAGCGGGGCCGGGCCCTGGGCCCCAGAGAGGCGGGGCGGGGTGGGCGGGGCCTCCGGACCCGGCACTGAGCGCCGGGGCGGGGCGGCGCCGCGCCGCGCGTACCTTGCGGGGGAGTGAGGTCGGGTTCATAGGTGGCCGCAGCGTGGTGGTCCCCGTCCGCCTCGGGAGAAAGTCGAAGTCGGCCTTTCACCTTGGAAACGCCATAGGCTTGCGTTCCCCAGACCGGCCGGCCAGGTCGCGGGGACTGGCCTCAAGCGGCCGCGGCCCCGCCTTCACCTGCCCAACTCAGTGCTCACAAACCGCCTTCCTGACTCAAACGCGGCCCGGAGGGCGAACCTGGGTCTCGCGAGAACTTGCGGCCCACGAGATCCCGGACCCGGGCAGCTGGCGGAGCTCGCGGCCCGCCTCGGCGGGGGGCCCTGAGGCTCTTGGGGACCTGAGGCTCTCGGGGTGACCGGCGGCCCGTCTGTCCCGGAAGCCCTTTCAGGGGCATTTCCCGGGGCCCGCTGCGCCGCCCCCCCAAAGCCCCTTCTCCCGGCTGGCCCGGCCGCGCGCAGACCCTTCTCTTTTCAGAGGAAACCTCGGGCTGCGTTCAGAAGCGAAGGGCAGCGCGGAAAGGCTGCTCGTCTTTCGAAGTCAGGCCTCTTTAAAATACTGAGTTCCTGTGTTTACGAAAAGAACTTTTCGTTACTGTCTGTCATCAGGCCTATGGAGAAATCCAGATCCAGGGGCTCACGTCAGCAGCTGAACAGGAACACCGCGTATACACAATCTATACGGAGGGTACCGGCTCACGTGGAGGGAAAGTATCTGCTACTAGGTGATTGACTGATGGACAGCAGAGGACGCCAGGAGAGGAGGGGAAAAGGACAGAAAGGGCTGCTTCAGCTCTCCGAGCTCTTTCTGGAAAAATAGTACAGTGCAGAATTTGTGTGAATTGCCCCTTTCAAGAACTGTTCACTGGATTTAGTCACAACTGAAGCTGTGAAAAAGGTTAATCAAACTTCCATTTTAATATGCCACAAACTCAAAAAAGGACACGAATAGTATAGGCAAGGATCATTTTAATCCTACATTTTCCTGCAGAGACATCCATTGCTGGCCAAATAAGAAGTGAAAACGCATTTGCCAGGACTTGAACACTGAGTATCTTGACACAAAGTTCACAAGTTGACACGGCCACACACACAGCCATCTTTCAGCACCAATAGAATACATACACCACACATGCTGAACAGGTCTCCTGAATGTTTGCTTTAGACAGCTGTTAATTGGATATCTGTTTAGTAAAATGCACCCTTTTAATATGTCTACTTTCTTAATTTACATCCTTACTATATATTACTTTCAAGATCTTAATTATAAAAAGGCCAGTACATTCAGGATTTCAATTTGTACGGGGGAAAAAAACCAATCAGCATTTTTTTCACAGGTGCTAAATTTAATAGCAACCTAGAAGACATTTTCTTTTTTCTAGTTTACAATGCCTGGCTTAGGGCTTTTATAAAAACAGTATAAATTTGTGTGAATTTACCACTAATAGTTTCCTACTGCAAAAAAACATTTTGCAAATGCTCTTTCCCAGATTGGTATTTCTGATTTAAGTATAAACAGTTAGTAGAGTTTTGGGACAATCTCATTCTTACTTTATTTGTAGATGTTGGGAAGAATTTTCAACCTCGGTGGCCCGATAGTCAAAATAAGCATTTTAATAAATGTATGAAATGGATTTCTGTTGGTAATCAAATAGTAAAGTCCACAATACATCTACAAGCTGCCTTCTGCCAAATTGAAGGCTAAACACACTGGAGACTTAAGGGTGAAGCAAAGAGCCTGGCTTTGGTAGTAAGACATCCAAATTCTTTTTAAAAATTGTACAGTGAATTGAAATAGCAATAGATGAATTAAAATGCTCCCCACAAAAAGTCTAGAGTGTGCTGAGAAAAAAAAAAAGTCAGTACCATATGACCAAAATTTTTTATTTAACTAAATCTCTATTTCATGCATAAGCATGATGGATTTCCCCAGCTTATTGGACTTTGGCAATTTAAAAAATAAAACAAAAGAAAAAACACAAGCAGCCTTGTACAGAACAGTGAAATGCCAAGGATAAGGGTAGTCTACAGTTTTACTGTAGGATAAATATATATATTTTTAAAGGCCTCCCTCCCTTTGGCTACATCAACTATAACTTCAGGTCATTAAATACAGACAAATTTTTAAAATCACTTCTTTACTTCTCCAAGATCCTCAATGCTGTCATCATCCACCTGTAAAACACAGATTATTATACTTTTATGAGTTTTAGAGTAAAGTAAGGGATTTGGGTTTTTTTTTAAAGTGATAAGATCAAAGACTTAGAGCTGGAAGGAATCTTAGGGGTTATCTAGTTCATATCTTCATTTTACAAGTAAGAAAACTGAGTAAGAGAGAGGGGTGGGGATGGGGAGGTGATCTACCTGCCCACGGTCACCCAACCAGTAAAATCAAATCCTTTCAGGGCTGGAGGGAGCTAAAGCAATCACTGAGTACAACATTCTTACTTTGGAATCGCAGAATCTAAGATGAAGACTCTGAGGCCAGGGGTTGGGGAACAGGGCATAGGAAGGGCAGTGATCTGCCCAAGGTCAGTCAGTCCACATTTCCTAACTGCCAGTTCAGTGTTCTTTTCCTGCTTGTCATATACTCACCTCTGGCCACTTCTCCTGAATTACATCAATAATGTCATCTGTAAAGTCTCCCTGAATGATGATTTCATCCTCCCCTGTGACTGAGGCACCACAGGAGAATTTCTGAGCAAAAAACCTTTGTGCTTCTTTAAGGTCAATCTCTGTCAAAAAAAAGAACACAGTGTAATATAACTGGGTGTCACAAAGAAATCTTTTCTATTTTAACGTTATTTAGTCTGACTTCAAATTCATAAAAAACAATTTATATGTTTTTGTATCAATTAATTCACTGTGTATTAATTACTTAATGCATTCTATTTTCCTCTATTAAAAAAGAGATCACTGAACTGCAATGGCGACCTGTTTTTATGATTTGACAAATTTTCAAGGTCACATGAAACCTCATTACTTGAAAAACAGCAGCACCAGACATACACACACATAAACCTATGTGTGTGTATATACAGAACATATGCAGTACGAGCAAATTAAGTTTCAGGGACACACTGATTACATACACTCCATATCAGAATAAATATCTTGTTTACTTTGTCTTTTCTTGAAAAGGAAAAAGAGAGGAAACATTCCCAGCAGAGAAACAGACCTTAATATTTATAATGAGGTCCAGTCCACTGTTTTGCAATCCGTGTAGTCACACGAAGAGACCTTGGTTAAATTTTTCACCCCAGTCTCACTACTTGTTCAAGGCCTCCAGGGACTGAAGGAGTTGTGAAGGCAGGTCATTCTGCTGCTACCCGCCTTCCCTCACCCTCCATTGCCACTCACAGAGGGGATGAGCCACTTTGCAACCCTTTGCCACCAACCCTGTAGAGGACAGAGGAGCAGCATTGGTAGGCTTCAAAGGGAATCTTAGCCGGCCCTCCTCATACTGAGCTAAACTTCCCCTTAATCGGACCCTGAAGGAAGGAAAAAAAATCCTAATGGCCCCACTGCAAAGAGACTTTTCCAACTTCTCAAAAAGTTCCGATTTTCAAATGAGAATTATAAAATCAGAGTTTGATTTTTATTTTTTCATGAAAAAAAAAAAAGGCTTGTGAAAGTTTCTTAACAGCTGACAAAACAGGAAAATCTACAGTTCAAGCTTGGGTTCTTTGACATGTGTTTAAACGCAAACTCACCGAACGTTGCAAGGCCACACACTCTTGTTACGTATTTCTTCTTTGCTCTAGGAATTTTGGCTATTGTAACCTTTTGCGGAACTGTCTTCTTTTTTTGTTTTATTTGACCCCTTCCACCTTTATTTTAACAAGAGAGCACCAGGTTATTTGTGATTTTAAGGCAAAAATAATTAAAGTACCAATTCAAATTCTTAAAATTTACTATTTAAAGAAAATCACTGAAAACAGTGAGGTTTTCCTATTTTCCTTGTTACAGAATTTATATGATCACATACATGTGGAAATTTATTACCGACATCCCAATTTTTAAAGCCACAATGAATGGAATTAAGTTAGGAGGTCATTTATTGAGGCAAGTTTTCATAATGCTTTCCCCCTTAATATAAAACAAACATCAAGAGGATTTTCAATGTTTACTCAGGTTCTCCTGTCTTTTCTGATTTAAATAAGGAGAAATTATCTTCTTTGAATTTTAATTTCCTTAGCCATAAAAAGGAAAGGGCAAGTGGGGGTGGACTACACGATCTCTTAAGTCCCTTTCCAGTATATGACTAACAGGTAAGCCTTCAATTTAAAATGCAGATCATTATTTTAAAACATATGAAACCCAAAATAATCATTGATGTTAAATTGTGATAGCCATTCAATAGCATTTGTGCTCAGTGACCAGGGAGACTGCTATTTGAAAGCCACAGCCCCTACTATTATTTTTAAGAGAAGGGCCTTGACCTACTTTCTCACCTACTCTGCCTTACGTTAAACAAGTAACTGAAAACAACTTTTACTAAATGTGAGTGGGACTGTATATTAAAGGAATCTTAATACTCAGCTGTTTACTTATTTTGGAAACACAGGTATTCTCCAAAAGCAGTTAACACACAAAAGCTTTCAGCCACACACTCAGAATCTAATCTTGTACAGACACATTCTAATTAAAATGCATTCCATAAAAACAACAGTAGCACTGACCTGACTCTAATTTATATGGGTATTTGAATGACACTGAGGCAGCTGGAATTTTTCAGTTTATAAACAGGCTGGCTGGTCTTTTCTGACACGTACAAAGGAAGGACAAAGGAAGCTTATTTCCCAGGGTTCAATTTGGCTTATGGAAAAGAGACCAGTGGTCCCAAATCAGACTGGATCCTAAGGACTTCGGTATCATATTCCTTGCATAACACCATGCATGAGGAATTATAATAATCAACGGCAGAAATGATTAATTTGAGGAACCCTATCATTATCTTAGGAAGGGTCTGCAAACTAGAGATCTTATCATTGCATTTCCCTTCCTCCTACTTCCACCAATGAATGGGCAGCAGACAGAGAATGAACCCAAATGAGGGTCTACTTGGGCCTTGCCTCTTTTTTGCTTTTTCTTCTCTTCCTCTTCTCCTGCTATTCCTGGGCCTTCCCCAATTCCAGGTTCTTGTTTAGGTGAATTTTCTGTATTTAAAAAAGCAACCATGAAAGAGCATTAATATCTTTTTTTCACATTTACACAAATTTCCACAACCCTTGTGCACCTCTAGAAGGGCAACGATGGCCCTATGGATAAGGCAGGAGTTTTTCTTTTATGTCTACGCTAAAGAAAGAGTCTGCTATTGACAACAGAAATGATTGTGCTAAGCCATCTAATTCTGAAAGCCCTTCAGGTTACAGGTAGATTCCACAGGACAAACAGTCAAGCCAGCAAAGTCTCAGAGAACAGGATTCAGCACATGCTTGCTAAGCCAATTCTGATGAATAAGTGTTTTGTTCTCCAAAACCAGGATGAAAGCAGGTGGGGAAAGGACTCTAGGCTCTGCACAGAGGCAATACTTCAGGAGGAAAGATGCTCATCTGCACACCAGCACGAAGAACTGCTTCCTCCTCCCAAGGTCATGGTCAGCACCTTCTCTGAGACATCCAACTTAACCGAACAAGGTCACAGGGATTGGGTTCTAGTTCTGCTTAATGGGTAACGAACGCCCCACATCCCACATAATACTTGGGAATCTGGAGCCTAGGAAAGGACCCCGGCTGTATGAACTACAACTCCTGTGCCCCAAGAGGGCTGGGCACCAATCATACATACACACCAAGTAACTGCACCACCACCTTTGGACACCTAACCCAGACTTCTCCGCCAGCTACCAACCCACACCGTTCCCAATACTGGATGGAAATCAGGAATCTGATTTTAGATTTCTGCCTAAATCATTTAACCTGTCAAAGCATGAACTTCCCTTCTTATACTAACTAGTATAAGTAACTAGTTATAAGTATATAAGCACAGTAACTAGTATGGCCCTTTGACTGAATCCAAACTTCACAGAACAAATCCCCTTCGTTAACAGGATTTGTTCTGTAAAACTTGGGCTCAGTCAAAAGGCTGCACCAGAGGACCTAGAAGGCCACATGTCGCCTTGAGGCCATGGGTTCCCCACCCCTGAATGAGGCAGATATATCCCATTTCAAAAAGATCAGAAATGATGAGCAGTGAGTGGTTCTCCAGCTACAAAGTTCCCATGAAAAGCTTTAGAATTACTGAAAACAAAAATTCATAAAATAGCTACCCTCACTGAGTTTTATTTTTTACAATACTCGGACCACAAGATTTAACAAAATCTATATAGTCCGTTTGGATGGTATTATCCCACTAAAGACAAACTTTATGGTGTTAAAAGTTATTAGGTTTTACACACACACACACACACACACACACACACACACACACACACACACAGAGTTCAAGCTTCGAAGACAGAAAAACAAAAATGTTCTTACCTACAGTGAGTTTTGCAAACTCATTTGGAAAATTCTTCTCTAACCACTGTCTACATTTAGCAACATCAGGCATATATTCACAGTACTGAAGGAAGAAGATCAAATTTCACTGTTACAAGAGTCAACTCTGCACACTATTAAATTATTTTAATTTACACGCCACAATTATATTCAGTGAGGAAACAGTAACTTCCCCCACTCTTCTATCTGAAACCTAGATTGCAACAGGAAAACAGCTAAAGGAAATCTGTAATCAAACAGAATCTCACCATGTCAGAGTTATGTTATTACAATTTAGAGACAGATATAAAGAAAAAGTGACAGGACAAGGGAATACAAAGAAAACAGGAATACTTCCTAAATTTTCAGTGTCTTCCACTTGCCTACTTCTCAACTATCTGAATTGCATTAAATTCAAGTTACTACCTTTCTTAGTTGGCTATTGTTAAGTTTCATTTAAAAAGAAAATGTTAACTGTACGGCTGAAAGGAATAAAGGAGCTATGACTCAGAAGCTAAGGGGGAAAAAATCTTCATAAATCCATAAGACCATGAAACTACTCCAGAGTAGTTTCAACTGACCAATGCAAAGGTAGAAGATTAAAAATTTGTAAGACTACTCTAGAAACAAGACAACTCACAAATACAGCAGCACAAGCTTATAAGAGTATTAAAAAGACTTACCTCTGTTGGTAATGAACAGACTGGGGAAAGAAAAAAATGTGGAATTAGTTTTCTATCAGTTTATTTCATCCCCACCCCTCCTCCCCTTATGAATTTTATAGAATATTTTTCAAATCTTCCTGTTAGTTTGAAAACAACTCCTCTCTCAAATTTGATCTAATAAGCAGTTAAGTCAAGTTCCACTGACAGACCAGAAAATAAGTCTTCTCCACTAAAATACTATCATAATTATTTCAGTGACCCGCAGATGCAACTAAATTAAATTCTTCTAACAATGACCAAAGGGAGTTGGTGTAATATCCGATTATTGTTAGATAAGCTGGGCCATCACCTCACATTTGGTTCCCAGGTACCCGACCTGTGATTTTAGGGGTACAGGGATATTCCCTGGTGAGGAAGCTCCTAACACTGCAGGCTGACATCTTCTCTGTCTCCAGTACTGTGGGCCTTGAGCCCCCACCCACCAGGATGAGTCAGAGAGAAGCATCCTGGACAGAAAACCAGCCTGTCTTGGTATTCATAGAGATACATGTAGAGAACCACCTTTAATACAATTTCTATATCTTCTAATAAACATATATATACATACATATACATGTGTATGTGTATGTAAAATAATTTTCTTTTATCCTTCACATTATCTTTGAGTAAGTAGGAACCGAGAATTGCAAAGCTTAAATGAATGAAACAATTATCAAATCAGACCCCTTATTTTACAGAAGGTAAAACTGAGGCCCACAAAATTTAAGTGACTTGTCCATGGGTTACCTGACCAGGGGCACTGGCAGGTGGCAGTACCACGATGATAATAATACAGAGTTTACTGATTCTCAGTCTGGTTATGATTTCCATTCCACTCTATGCTATCTCCCCAGCTAATTCCATAAGCTTCATATTCTGTTTTCACAAGACACAGAAAAGCCGAATTAATTTTAACAAAATTTCAGAGTAAGAAAGGGACTCAGAGCCATCTAAAGAGAGCCATACTGAAATAAGATTCCCTCTCTGACACACCTGACAGAGAAGATACAGACTTTGTGTCTAGTGAGGACCTCTAGAGAAGAGGAGCCCACTACCTCCCAACAAGTCAACTCTACTTTGGGAGAGAAAATCATTTAGAGCATTTTCCTCCTCATCAAAACTATATGTGCCCCTGAAAGTTCCATCAAACATCGCCATCCTGCTCTCATGAAACATTTAGAAAAAGTCTCCCCCTCGTTCTACATAGCAAGCATTCAAATACTGTATGTGAGCTAGTGACCCAAGTCTTCTTTCCTCTCTTTGCTGGACATTTTGATTTCTAGCTTCTGAGGGAGAAGGAAAGGGAGAAGCAAAAGGACTGGAATGGAATAAAAAGGAAATTATGTCGCTAACCTAGAGGGAAGATTAGACAACTGAAGGTCAGAGGCTGAACTGGGGGTAACCAGGAAGTGAGCAGAATGTGAAGGACACTCTGAGGCCCAGATCTTACTTCAGGGGTGAGAAAGAAGCAGGATGAAGGAAGACCAAGAAGGGTTAGACACTAGCTCCTGACGGGGGGAGACTCAAGCAGGAGAAAGGGAAGGCTGTTGATAACACGAGGCAAGCTAAGAAAAGGGAAATGAAACAATCATTGGAGGGTAAAACAAACGGAAAGAGCAGAACGGACAGGCAGGTAAAACTGGTGCAAGGTGGGTATGGCTGCCAGAGATGAAATGAACATTGGCTAGTTTTAACCAGGAGCTTATAGTAGGCACAAGCATACCCACAAGTAGTTAAAAAATTCAATCCTTAGGGAAAGAAGGGGAAATTGCACAAGTGGGTGATGTTTGTACTTCTCCCACAGTCTAAGGACTGTTATCGGAGCCACTCTGGAAAACATCTACCTCAAACTGCTTGTAACTGTCAAACCCAGGCCACCTCTTTGGCACTTAGTGAATACCTTAGCAGCTAAACTCCTTCTTACCTTTTACCTTGTCTAGCTAACTAACTTTTTCTTGAATCTTCCTTCTCTTCAAATCATTCTTCTCCTTTAGGTCAAGATCAAATGAAATAATAATTGTCAGGTGCTTCCTAGCACAGTTCCTGGCACACAATAAGCATTACATAAATGTTAACTATTATTATTACTATTAACATTACCTTCATCATGGTGCTGCTACTGCTGATCATGACGCACTTCTTCTTCATCCTAACTTTTCTCTCTCTCAAATTTTCCCAAGTCTTCCCAGATTTCCCCTCCTCAGATTCAATCTCTGGCTTTCTTTACAACTATGAAGGTCTCCTAATCACCTTCACACTTCTTTGTCTTTCTTCAGCTCAAGTGTTTCTCCTTACAGTGCTTGGGAAATATAACACTGGGTCATCTAACATGTGGACCCCATTACTATCCTTTAGGATACCAAGCCTTCTGGCCTACAAGCTCTAGAATTCAGGAACATAACTACCACATGCACAGTTTATCTAGATCGGCAACTAGTTGGTGTTAAATTGCTTAATATATTACTTTGAGCTATCCCTAAATGGTATTAGAAAACAAATTCTAATATTCTAATATTTATTCTAAAAATATTAGAAAATTTCTACTCTATAGTTATAATGCAAAAGGAAAATCTTTGTGGTAGACTCTGTCCCCTAGTGTCTGAGAAAGTATTCTTAAAGCTAGAGGAGGTGCACACGTGCACACTGATCAATGCCTCACCCCAACATTTCTGAGAGCTGCACTGAGCTCCCTCAAGGGAGATTCTTCAACAAAGAAATGGCAAATGGGAGACCCCAGACACCCAGCCTGACCTGGAGGCTCACATGTGACCGCAGCTCTGCATGCTGCATGGCATATGGGTGAAGCCTTTCCAACTCTCTAGCAAGCAGGAATCCCTGAAAGGATGGCTCAGGGCTCTCCATAAGAAGTGGAAGTGATGACAGCAACGCAGGCCCCTTCTCAAATTGCCCCAAGGGAAAAAAAAAAAAAGGAAAAATGTATTTAATTGACAGTGTCAAACAATCCCAACGGTGGAAAAAAGCAGGTCAATGAGATTTTGTGAATAATGAAATCACTGAACCACGTATGCATATTTTGCATTTATTAGAGTAATCAGTAATGTAAGGAAACTCAGTAATGTAATTTTGAACTGCAGGACAGTCCATCTCTTTAAGCAAAAATTTAAAGTTCCTTCCCATTCTACCCAGAAGAAACATTTGGCCACAAAACTCTAATGAACAAAATGCCTCCCAAGATCTCATCTGAATGGCCCAAGGACAACTCCAGGATATGCTCCATCCTCATCTTTAGAAAGGGGCTTTCACAAACCAACCATACTCTCTCTCTGTCTCTAAGCAATAAATGAACCTTCATTTTATTGGGCCTGGGAGCTCGCAGGACCTCTTAGCAGAGAAGAATGCCAGGCAGAAACAAAGTCCACTGCTGAAGATTCTTTGGGGCTAACAACTGCCTCTTTCAGTATGTGAACACTTTATTTGATATTAAGCCTTATTCATCCCTTACTTACATATCTTAGCCCAGAACTTTTGGAATGTTGATTTGGATGAGGGCCTTCAAATAGCCAGAAGAGAGCATGGGATTAAGAAGTAAGAGGCAAGTGAGAAAGCAAAATAGGTGAACAGATTCAGAAAAGGAAGGAGGAAAAACAAACTTTTGCTCACTTTACTATTCTACCTGGGGACAAGACAGAATCATTTTTCCTATTAGGCCTAAACTGGAAGGTCACAAGCCCCACCTTTCCCCATGTCAGCCTAGTATCCCCCAATCCAGTTCACATTGTGGTATCTTTCCCTTCTGGGAGGGGCAGGGCAAGAGGGAGAATAGAGGATCCCACATCTAGAACTGGACAGGACCTCAGAAGCCATCTTGTCCAATCCCCTCATCTTAGAGAGGAGGAGACTGAGGTCTAGATTAGTTAAGTGACCTGTCCACAGTCAGACAGGCAGGATGCTACTGTCAGAGACAGAGAGGCTGCTGCTTCTCTCCAGGAAGGTGCCTTTTTTCTCACCGCCACTTCTAGACCCTCCTCCTGTCCCCACCACTCTACAACCTCTCCTTCTTTGAGGTTCATTCCATCTGTCTACAACACCCTGTTCAGACCCTGGTTATAGTCAACTACAAGCCTGTGGGCCATCTCCCCTCATTTCTCAAGGAGTTCACAGTACACTTGACTCACTGTAACCCCCTCTATCCCTGAGGTGTATGGGGTGATCAGGAAGGAGTAGCACCTCTTGTGTGACAGCCTGCCAAGCCCTTTCCAGGGCTGCTCACCCACCTTTGGTGTTCACCTCATTCACCCATCTCTCAGCTGTGGCTCCCAAAAGCCGTAGCATGCAGTGGCCACATCCCAGTAAGTCATCTCAACAGCCAGGATAAGTCGGATCGAAGGGAACTGTCAAGCCTCTAACCTGTGAGTGGGTTAGAGGGATGGCTACACCAAGCACTTTCCCAGGCAGAATGGGCAGATGAAAACAATCTGTTCCAACAGTTATGAAGGTGGCTAAAGCAGGCACTGAGGGGCACTCAGAGCTTGGTCAGACATCAAAGACACCAAGGTCATCCACTGCAGCCTGGGCCATTACCAGACTTTTGTCCTGCCATTAGATCGTGATGGCTTAGGAAGAAAGAGTAAGGCTGAGGACTCTGTGCAACTCTGCCTCACTTAAATCCAACTCACACACAAGTCAAGACATCACCTGTGATGTCATGGGTCCTCTTCACAAAGGAAGGACTAACAACATCTCTCTCTGTCCCTGCCCTCATATGTGGAGACTCGATGACATGCTTTCACACCTCTTCAAGCACCACAGCCTCCCAATTTTCTTAACATCATCAACCACCCTTATGTGCACCTTCGTTCCACCTGATGACTTCATCATCACCCAGAAAACTCTGAGATCTCTTCTTTAAGCACAGCCTTCTGTCCTTGCATCCCTCTCTGGGACACTACCCCTGAATCTACCCAGCACCCAGCTGTGACTATGAGCCCCTTCAAAGCCCCCTGTTCTCCCACTCCATCACCCCTGCTCTGGCCTGCCT